GGGCCTAACCCTAGAGCTCTCAGGCGTGCATTTGCTGCTGGCCTGGGGACCACACTTTGGCAGGGCTCCACACTTTCATGTCTCCAGCTCATGTCAAGTGCACACCAGGCTGCACAGAGGAGTTCAGTGCTCTACTAAAGCCACAGTGAGTTGCTCCATTTCCTAAGTTACTGCTTCAAAACAAGACTCTTTTAGAGATGCCATTTTTATTTTTTTATTTTATTTTATTTTATTTATTTTTTGTCCTTTTTGAGACCGGCCGCACCGCGCTCAGCCAGTGAGCGCTGTGAGCGCACCGGTCATCCCTATATAGGATCCGCTGCACTCTCCTGAGTGCGCCACAGGCTCGGCCCTAGAGATGCCATTTTTAAATAAAGGGGGGGTTGAACTTCAAAACCAAGTAGAAAGGGCTGCACTCTCCCGAGTGCACCACAGGCTTGGCCCTAGAGATGCCATTTTTAAATAAAGGGGGGGTTGAACTTCAAAACCAAGTAGAAAGGGTATTTATGTGACTTAGCTGATGTTGATTATAATTTTCTCAGTTTATGGTATTTGCTTTATTGCTAAAAACTTACCACTGGAAGCATGACAGAACATTTATACCAAATAATCACATCATCCTTTATCATGACCTTGTCCCTAGCAAGACAGCTACTCCTGAGAAGTGCCTACATGTCCACTTGTGGGTTTTTCCCAGCATTAGTAATGTATCAGCTGTGACCTTGCAGCAAGACTCCAGCTGTGTTTACTCTGTGCCTGTGCCCCCAGTGGTCAGTGGGGCTTTAGAGCCACCCTGGATGCATCAAACTTCCCTCTATCATGTACAAGAGTTAACCATAAAGCTTGCAGAGTGAATTTTTAAGTAAACACATTATATATCTGTTCTTCATAGAATGTTCTTTAAGTAATTTATCTTGGGAAGCTAAACATTCCAAACATTTGGAATTCTTCAAGAATTGATTTTTTTAAATGTATCTAATCAACTAGCTGTGAAGCACTTATATTGTCCAAAAAAGCTTCATTTTTTAAAAAGCCAAACCAGTATTCTGTACTTATTTAATAGATTTGGTTTCAAATAACTTGGCTGTTTCCAAAAATATTGGATATTCCTTCCATGGCTGAAAAATAACTAAAAAGGGTTCTCAAAGAAATGTACTGTAGATTCTGAAGTCCATAGTAGTAATATTTAATGTTTATCAAGTGTTTACTATGAATGGGGGAGTTCTGTGCTTTAAGTAGATTAACTCATAAATCTTCACAACAACCCTATGCAAGGAAAAATTTGAGACTTTTGAATGGGCAAGAGACTACTCAATATGATTTTAATGGAATGCTTGATAACTGTAGGGTGCGTACCCATGGCTTTGAATAGGTTATTTTATAACTATAGAGGTAGAAGTTGATTTCTAGAAAACTTATAATGTGAATATTTCCTGTCTTGTTATGCTAATGATTCCTGTCCATGGTAATGCAAATGAATCTTGACCTGTTCAAAATAAAGTCAAATCCCCATTTGAACAGGTTTAACACTTTTCTGGTTCTCTCAT